GTTGAGGGGCAATAGCAGCCTTCTTCCTTATTCCTGCATCCACATAAACCTAGTCTCACAGAAGGTGAAGACTGGATGCCACTGGTGGTTTGAGGTGGTCTCATAGTACTCCTTCTTTGTGATTGTGCTGTGGCCCTAACCAAATGGAAGGGAGTTTGAACTTTACTGTACTGTTACCCTGGGATAGTTAGTCCTTTTTGTTGGTGTTGTGTTTTGTTCTGTAATTTTTATTTTTTATTTTTATGGGTGTGGGTATTTTGCCTGCTTGTATGTTTGTGCCTGGTGCTCACGGAGGCCAGAAGGGGGCTTCGGATGCCCTGGGACTGGAATTACAAATGGCTATAAGCTGCCGTGTGGGTGTTGGAAATCAAACTCGGGGTCTCTGGAAGAGCAGCCATCTCTTAACTGCAGAACCATCCCTCCAGCCCCCTTATTTGTTTCCTTGGTGTTGTGTGTTTTGGTTGGTTGGTTTGTTGGTTGGTTTTGGGGGGTGTTTTGTATTTGTTTTGTTTTTGTTTTGTTTTTTGAGACACACTAGCCTCAAACTCACATATTCAGGATGAGCCTTCAAGGCCTGATCCTTCTATCTCCACCTCCCAAGCACTAGAATTAGAGATGTACCCCACTTTCCAGTCATCATTTATTCTGACAAGTCATGCAAGTCAGTTCATTTCATACACCTTCTAAGAACTATTTTATGTCCTACTAGTAGATGAGAAGGCTGGGACCTTTCCCTACTGGAGCTCACAGAGTTGGACCTAGTCTCTCAGGATCCTAACTACAGCCTTCCCCATTGTTCCTGATTACTTAGTCCCACTCTGACCCTTGCCTGCCTCTCCCCAGGCTTTAGAGGAAAAGGTACGGACCACGGAGACACAGGTGCTTGTGGCATCTGCACAGAAGAAGCTGCTGGAGGAGAGACTGAAGCTTGTCTCAGAGTTATGGGATGCTGGGATCAAGGTACAGGAGGCAGTCCCCAGGGTGGTAGCAAACTTGGGAGTACTAGGCACAAACTAACAGAAGTTTACATAGTGCCTCCCATTACTTCTTGAGATGTAGCAAAGAATAGGTACCTGCTGCACCCCACCCCCACCCCATCCCCAGAGTTCCTCCCCGAGAACAACAGAAGCCTTCGTTTTCTTCTTTGGTCATGTGCAGGCTGAGCTGCTGTACAAGAAGAACCCGAAGTTACTGAACCAGCTGCAGTACTGTGAGGAAGCAGGCATCCCACTGGTAGCCATCATCGGCGAGCAGGAGCTCAAGGATGGTGTCGTCAAGCTCCGTTCAGTGACTAGCAGAGAAGAGGTAAGGAGGCAAGCAGGAAGGCTGACGAACAAGGGGGCATCAGCTTCTGGTCGGCCCAGGCCTGTTGGAGATCTGAGCCGCATAGAGCACTAACTTCTGAAGAATCTGGGGGCTTAGACTTTAACTACAATCATGACGTTTCAGATCCCCAGCATCCACCTGCACGTGTTTTCCTGGGGGCATTATCTACCCTGGGCTGTCTAACTGGGTACATGTCCCAGTGAGCCAAACCTGGTACTAGAAGTAGGCACTCAGTGAATAGCTGAACCGAAGATGTTCATACCTTCTTTCTCCTTCCTGGCCAGGTGGATGTCCGAAGAGAAGACCTTGTGGAGGAGATCAGAAGAAGAACAGATCAGCCCCTCTCCATCTGCTGAACTGAACAAACTGCAAAGGAATCAGAATTGGCCTTATTTGAACTGAAACAAAACTGCATATGTATTTAAACAGTTCGCGTACTTCTGACCCAGGAGAAGACTGAAGGGTGGTCAAAATAGTGGCTTTTTTGTTTTTATCATTACCTTATTATTGGTAATCACTGGCAAAAAAAAATGGCCAAGAACTACCCTTTCCTTGTCGGGGATGGGGAGGAGCAGTATAGGTGGACTAATCAGGACTCTGCCTCCTAAACTCCTGTGTGGACCTGAGGTGGCTTCACTGCAGAGCCACACACCAGATGAACAGATGCCTCCCTACAACCTACCGCCAAAAAGTTCAATAAATGTCTCCACCGCTAACGCCTGTCTGTGTCCATAATGCCTAATGCTACCTTCCGCCTCGGGTCCTGAACCATTCAAGCTGCTTTAGTGACTGGTGTGAAAGAGAGGAGGCCTCCCCAAACCCACCGGTTAAAGGGCACCCTGTGGGCCCGGTACCCATCCTGCCCCTGCTCGGCCCCACCCCCCACCTCTGATGGCGCTCCTCCCACACACGTCCTAAGAGAGTTGAGAGATTTCCAGGGGCTAGCGCGCCTCCAAGCGTTCGCGCACGTGCAATGGATGCCTCCTTGAGAGGCGGGGTCGCTCTCGGAGCCAATGAGAGCTCGAGGGGGCGTGGAAGGCAGGGAATCTTCCAGAGGCAGAGAAGCCCAAGGGAAGTTCTAAAGAAGGTCCTGGCAGGCAGACCTAGGAGAGGGCTATGCAGTCTAAAAGGGAGTGTGAGGTAAGTAATTAAAGACCTAAGGGGTCCTTGGGCCCCCCCTCCATAAGGAGCGGTTACGGTGACCCCAATACCCAAGCGAGGTGGTACTGGGCCGGTGATGCGCCATTCCAACCTACCTACCTCTTTCCTCCAGCAATGGTGTGAACGGGTGAATCCAGAGAACAAGGCAGCCCTGGAGGCGTGGGTAAGGGAGACTGGCATCCGCCTGGTACAGGTCAACGGGCAAAGGAAGTATGGCGGGCCACCCCCAGGTATGGTAGCCCCACCCCGTGTGGCACTACACAGCCTTGGCCACTCTTGTAGGTAGGGCCTGTCCCCTAGGCTCCAAAGTCAGAAAACCCAGACTACCTGACATAGCCTCTATCAGGTGCGGATATTTGTCTGGCTCCCCTTCCACTCTCCCCGTCGAGGAGAGTACGCCCACCCACTCGGTGCCAGCCTAGTTGTTTACGCCGTCCAGTCGCCCAGTTCTGCTAACGACCGGGAGCCAGAAGGGTGTCAGTATTTCTAGATGGCCTTCCTCCTCGCCTCCCACATCCTAGCTGTTTCCTGGGGCTTAGAAGTAGAACCATCCCGTTTGACGACAGTACCCCCTTCCTATCCTCTCCCTCCAGGCTGGGTGGGCAGCCCGCCACCTTCAGGCTCCGAGGTGTTTATCGGGCGACTGCCCCAGGACGTGTATGAGCACCAGCTGATCCCACTCTTCCAGCGCGTGGGGCGTCTCTACGAGTTCCGCCTGATGATGACCTTCAGTGGCTTGAACCGCGGCTTTGCCTACGCGCGCTACAGCTCGCGGCGCGGTGCCCAGGCCGCCATTGCCACGCTGCACAACCACCAGCTGCGCCCCTCCTGCCAGCTTCTGGTGTGCCGAAGCACCGAGAAGTGCGAGCTGACAGTGGACGGGCTGCCTCCCAGCTTGAACCGCCGCGCCCTCCTGCTCGCCCTCCAACCGCTGGGTCCCTGCCTGCAGGAGACATTGCTGCTACCCAGCCCCGGGTCGGCGCCCTCTCAGATTGCACTGCTCAAGTTCAGCACACACCGAGCCGCTGCCATGGCCAAAAAGGCCCTGGTAGAAGGTAGGGGTGGAAGCTGCGGGTGGGCGGCTGGCTACTTTAAAAGCATATCCCCAAATCTTAGAGTCAGACATGCGTGGGGTTCACAAACTGCCGGCATACGACAGTGCTACAACCACTATTTACCTAAATTGAAGCTCCCGCTCCCATAGTTTGTATCCTATTTTGTTTTATTTTTTGAGACAGGGTTTCTCGTGTAGCCTTGGCTGGCCCGGAACTCGCTTTGTAGACCAGGCTGGCCTCAAACTCAGAGATCCACCTGCCTCTGCCTCCCACTTGGATTAAAGGTTTGCGCCACCACCACCTGCCAGTGCATCCTGTTCTAGTCCTCAGTATTTCCAGGGGGGAAAAAATTGGAGTTGTATACGAGTTCAGGTGAGCCTGCTTATCTTTGTGGTGCCTGTTTCCTGGGGTGAATTAAGCAGTGCTGCCTCCTGTTTTCAGCTTTCATTGATCAGAAAGGTTAGCTATTGTGATGGTGACTAAGTAAACAAAGCCTGAATGCCCTGTACTGCCCCAGGGATAATTAGATAGTATGTGTTGTTACAGCCCCTTTACAAATAAATGAAGTGAGGCTTGGAGAAGTTGTCACGCCACCAGGAAGTGGAGAGGCATTAAACATAGCCTGTAGCGAGTCACTCCCAGGCCCCTTTACTGGCCAGCTCCTCCTCAGTGTCCGGCTCCAGTCCCTGTACTCAGATCTGCCCTTGTCTTCTGCCTCTTTCTTGCAGGGCAGTCACGCCTCTGTGGGGAACAGGTGGCTGTGGAGTGGCTCAAGCCTGACCTGAAGCAGCACTTCCGCCAGCAGCTTGCAGGTCCCTCGCTGCGGTTCCTACGGCCAGAAGGCAGCCAACTAGCCCAGAGCAGGGATAGGCTAGGGTCCCAAGGGGCTCGGGCTGCTCTGCAGCTGCTGTGTCAACGGATGAAGCTGGGCAGCCCAGTGTTCCTTACCAAGTGCTTAGGCACGGGGCCTGCTGGCTGGCATCGCTTTTGGTACCAGGTTGTGATCCCTGGACACCCAGTGCCTTTCAGCGGCCTCATTTGGGTTGTGCTGGCCTCTGAATGGCAGGATGGGCATGAGGTGGCCAAGGATGCTGTGTCTGCACAGTTGCTGGAAACACTGAGTGAGTCTAGAACCAGCTTGTGGTCTCCTGGGGCTGAAGCAGGTATTATGGTTAGGCAGTGACCCCCTCCCCCTCCTCTCTACAGGCAGCCTAAATGGGTGGACAGAACCTGTGCCAGCCCAGCCCAGCAGGCCTGGGCAGCCACTACTGGATCACAAAGAGACAGGGGCCTGGTTACAGCTTCCTTGCTGGGGAAGGACCCTGTCACACCTAAGTGCTACTTTAGTTGTGAGGAACTCGGCCCTTCCCCCACTGAGCCCAGGGTCTGATTTGACCTCTGACCTAGTATCCTTGGTCACTTCCCAGTTTGCCAAAATTACCATACCCACACAAAAAGTTTACTATGAATCTTTGTTTTTATTTGAGCCAAAGGCCCTTCCTTCCACCACTTGCCACTGATTTGGGCTTATATGTCTTTTTCTATACTGGTTGTATTTATATTAAACCCCTGGTTGGTATTCACATGTCTGTCTGTGCTGTCTTACCATAACAGTTTGTTTTACAATGGTAGGGTGAGCAAATACTTTCCCACTTTGGGGCCATGAATTTATACAACAGAGTATTGGAAATTCCTGTTGGGGGGCTGGGGGGATCAGTGGTAGATCTAAGCTTATACTCAAGGTTGTAGGTTCAATCCACAGCATCAAAAAACATTTCTTTAGGGGCTGTCCCAGAAAACATAGCTCCTTGTCCTGACATTCTCCTCATGGCCTCAGCTCAGTCACTGTCATTATCGCTCTCCTTCAGTACCTCCTCTGGAGCCTTGGCATCCTCTCCATCTTCTCTCAACCCTGCAAAGAAGTCGTCAGTGCTCCAGGCCTTACTGCTCAGAGCACGGAGGGGCCCTCCCTTTTTCTTGCGTCGCCGATAATCGTCCACAACCACAGTTCGCAGCTGAGTCATGTTCCAAAATTTGAGTCGCTGGTCGTGGCCACTACTGGCCAAAAACTGGCCGCAGTGGGATAGGGCTAGTGCCTCCACAGGCTCCCCAGCATGCTGGCCCACGGTGCCTACCACTCGGTTTGGCAGGATGTTCACAGCCCTGGGCAGAGAAGAGTGTTAGGCACTGGCTGGCTTGGCCTGGCCTCCCTGTGCGCCAGGGCTGCACTGGCTCCCCTTACCTAATGATGCCATCCGTGGAGCCAGTGCACAGCAGATTCTCAGTGACCGGAACCATGCAGTCGATGGACTCTGCTCTCAGGGCAAAGCGGTCACTTGTCGCCCCAAAACCATTCCAGTTGAAGAGGTAGATGGTACCTTCACTAGATCCACAGGCCACCTTCTTCCCATACTGCAGGTTCACAAGGTAAACCATGTTTGTGGAGCCACTTCAGAATACACCCCCTAGCATGCATACCCTATCCCATCATACCCAGCTGTACTTTCATGAGGGTGACGGAGGTCAGATCGCCTGACTGAGGCTCCGAGAGTAACTCCAAACGGCGTCTCTTGATGTTGAAGACACCAAGGCAGCCATCCCCACTGTAGAGAGCAAACAGATTGAACGGGAAGCTCCATTTGAAGAAGACTGTAATACCAAGTGGGTACCTACATCACCAAGTGGGTACCTACACCACCAAGTGGGTACCTACATCACCAAGTGGTCTCGAGGGAGGAAACCAGCAGGGAGCAGGGTTTAAGGTTGTACCTGGCTGTCAGCAGCAGCTTTTTGGCTGGGCCTAGAGCCATGTCAGCGATGTACTCCTCATGCTGCCGCATATCCATTAAAGGGCCCTCTTTTCGCTGGTCCCAGAGCCGGATGCCACCTGTGTCATCCCCAGTGACTAGAACATTCTCATCCACAAGCAGCAGACTATTAATGGGGGCACTGGAGAAACAGAGAATATGAATTTGTTCTAATGGAGACCTCTCAGTCCTTACCCCTCACCAGGTACACGTACATCTGATTTTTCTTACCCGTGAGCCTTGGAAATGCGTCTTTCCAACTGTCCCTGTTCGACATCTAATATATGGATTGCTTTGTCCTTAGAGACAGTAACAAGTTCTAGGGGGGAAAAGGCCAGCTTATGGTATGATCATTGCCCTCTCCCCTCTACCACACTGCTGGCTGCCTTCCCCAGTACTCACTCTGCCCATCCTCTGAGAAGACAACGGCTCTGCAGGACTTGAGGTGGTGTCCCGAGGACCAGAGTTCCTTGGTTTCTCCCTCCTGACAAGAGTATGAAAAGCTGAGGAAAGGAAGAGAGTGAATCATCCCATACCACACCTGCAATGCACAGAGCACAAAAAAAAAAAAAAACCACCACTTTCCTATGTAGATGAGAGTACTTCCAAGACCAAAGAGCCTACCACTCTTGTTTATCGATTTTCTTTGTAGTATTGGAAATGGAACTTCACACATGCTAGGTAAATAGTCTGCAAATGAGCCACACACACCCAGCCTATTTATCCGTTTTCTCTTTATATTTTTCTTTTAGTTATTCTTTTTTTGTTTGGTTGGTTTTGTTTTTGTTTTTTTTTTTGAGACAGGGTTTCTCTGTGTAGCCCTGGTTGTCCTGATACTCAAAGACCAGGCTGGTCTTGATTGAACTCAGAGATCCACCTGCCTCTGCCTCCCCGAGTGCTGGAATAAAAGGTGTTCACCACCACTGCCTGGCTTATTTATCCATTTTCAATTAACTTCAAATATTAGATCTTGTTTCAATACATATTAATTCAAGATATATTTGTATAGGACTATTTTGGGGAACGAATCAGGTTGTGACAAGATCTCATTGCATAGCCAAATCTAGCCTGGAACTTGTTTTCTTTTTTTGTTGTTTTATTTGAGACAGGGTTTCTCTGTGTAGCCCTGGCTGCCCTGGAACTCCATCTGTAGACCAGGCTGGCCTCAAACTCAGAGATTCACCTGCCTCTGCCTCCCAAGAGCTGGGATTAAAAAGTGTGCCACCATTGCCTGGTTTGGCCTGGAATTTGTAATCATTTATCTCATCCTTCAAGATGTTGAGATTACAGGTACACATCATTACAGTCCACTCTTCACCATCCTCAAAAGCCCAAGCCTGGGGAAAGATTGGGTCTGGACCACTGTGGGGGCCCAGAAATACATGATTAAACTAATGGCAAGCTGGGTGTGTTGGTGGGTGCCTATATTCTTAGGAATTCTGGCTGGGCAGTAGTGGCAGATGTCTTTAATCCCAGCACTCAGGAGGCAGAGGCCAGACTGGTCTACAGAGCAAGTCCAAGGACAGTCAGGGATACTAAAAAACCTAGGGGAGCCGGGCGGTGGTGGCCCACGCCTTTAATCCCAGCACTCGGGAGGCAGAGCCAGGCGGATCTCTGTGAGTTCGAGGCCAGCCTGGTCTACAAAGCGAGATCCAGGACAAGCACCAAAACACCACAGAGAAACCCTGTCTCGAAAAAACAAAAACAAACAAACAAAAAACCTAGAGGGGGAAAAAAATCTGAGACCAGAGCAAGAGGATCCTTTTAGACCACTCTGGGCCATAGTGAGATCCTGTCTCAAAGGAAAATAACTATTAACAGAAATCCAGAAGCTGGAAGGGTAATAATCAGAGTCCACAGAAGCTATAGAAGGACACGGTTAATTACTGTATATTCTGGCCAATGTCACCGTGCTGACAAGTTAAATTAAAATAGAGGTGGAGGTCTGGAGAGATGGTTCAGGCCTTGGGAATCCCCAAAACCTATGTAAAAGATGGGGCAAGTATGGTGGCCAACTTTAATTCCAGCACTTAGGAAGCAGAGATGGGTGGGATCCCTGAGGCAAGCTAGATAGCTAGGTAAGACTAGCAAGGATCGTCGAGCTCCAGTCTCAACACCTTGCCTAAAAATTAAAAAATTAAAAAGATGGAGAGGGATGTGGGAAGACATCTGGAGTCAATTTGAGAACCCCACCAGCACACTTGCTGAAAGTTACTGAACGAGTCGGGCCGTCTGATCAGATCTCATAAAATATGTCTTCCCGCCACACGCTCTACCCCACCTCCAACCCAGAGGAGCTTTAAGACCCTGGCGCCCACGCGCCGACCACGCCTCCGCCCTACAGCCCACTCACACGAACACGTCCCCGTCTACGTCCCCTGCCGCCAGCAGGTCTCGAGTGGGATGGAACGCCAGGCCACTGGCTGGCGCTTCCAGCACGATGTCTTCTGGGGTATCACGGATCCGGGGTGCTGCCTTCGTGGAGTCAAGGTCTTCCTCTTCATTGCTTGAATTCTCCGCGGGACTCTCCTCGCACATGCGATCCATAGAACCCATGCACGCCGAGGAACCAACTACATTTAATGGGGCGTGGCTTAGGTCGTTGCTTCCGGGAGAGGGCGGGATCGGAAGTGCACTGGGGGGAGGACGTCGGAAGGGGAGGGCCTGTTGCCTCTGGTGTAGATGGAGCGGTCGTGGCATGCTGCGTCCTCTAAGAATAACTACCCTACCCCCCCTTTTTTTTTTTAAGATTTATTTATTGTGTATACAGAAGAGGGTGCCAGATCTCATTACAGATGGTTGTGAGCCACCATGCGGGTGCTGGGAATTGAACTCAGGACCTCTGGAAGAGCAGTCGGTGCTCTTAACCTCTGAGCCATATCTCCAATCCCTTTTATTTTTTTAAATGAAGCTAAGTTGCAGTTGTTTTTTTTAAATATGTTTTAAACAGGGCTAAGAGAAAAAAGAGCTGAGGAAGAAAGGCACAGCAGAAAATATGGGCGTGGTTTCAGAGACTCCCCGTCCCTCCGACCCTCCCGACCCTCCGGGTTTTCCTGTGATGAGTGCACGACGACGCATGGAAGTCAGAGAACCACCTTAAGGAGTTGGTTCTCTCCTCCCACTTTACGTAGGTCCCAGTGACTAAACTCCGATCCTCAGGTTTGCTCCTCAGGTTTGCTCTACAGCCGACTTAGCGACTGTACCATCTCCCTGCTCCCCAACCCCCAGACCCATCTTACCAGACCCACTGTGGCCTGTGCTTGGGGCTAGCTAGACTGTGTGACCTTTAAGGCCTGCCCTCCCTCCCAGCCGCTTCACATATTTGGGAACACCCTCAATTGTTCCCTCCATCCAGTCCTAGCCTAACAAATAGGAGAGGGGGATCCCAGTCATTCCTGACTTGGTGAAACCTAAGACCAAGGCTAGGGGCAGGCATGTTGCCCAAGATGGAAAGAGTCCTCCCATCCCTAAGTTAACAGGGATCATTAACAGGAGGCAGCCTTCACACATGCTCAAACTGCTGCCCACGCCAACATCTTCGTGCCTCCAGAGAAACAGTGAACAGTACTGTTCTAGAATAGTTTAGCTCCTGACCTTTGATGGGCATGACCTATTGTACTTAGGCTACCCAGGAAACATTCATGACAGCTGATGTTCTGGGCATCCCTGTTAATGAGGGTTCCAATAATGAGATGCTCTACATGGCAGGACAGTCCCTGAGGCTAGCTGAAAGTGACCTGCTCAGATTTCTGGGCAACGAGGCCTTCTAAGGCTTGTGCTGGCATGGTAGCACACATCTTTGGGGGAGGGGGATAAAAGCAGGTGGATCTCTTGAGAATTCCAGGCCAACCTGATCTATATAGTGAGAACCTGCCGAAAAGGAAAATAACATGAACATGAGGGGCTGGGAAGATGGCTCAGCAGTTAAGAACATTGGCTGCTCTTCCAGAGGGCCTGGGTTCAATCCCAGCACCCACATGGCAGCTTATAACTCCAATTCCAGGGCATCTCACACAGACATACATGTAGGCCAAACACCAATCAATGCTCATAAAATAAAAATAAATAAATTATTGCCAGGCAGTGGTGGCACACACCTTTAGTCCTAGCACTTGAGGAGGCAGAAGCAGGCAGATCTCCAAGTTGGAGGCCAGCCTGATCTCCAGAGCAAGTTCCAGGACAGTCAGGGCTACACAGAGAAATCCTGTCTCAAGAAAAAAAAAAAAAATGAACACAAGGTGAAGTTAAGAGTTTCAGAGGAGGGCTGGAGAGATGGCTCAGTGGTTAAGAGCACTGGCTGTTCTTCCAGAGGACCTGGGTTCAATTCCCAGCAACCACTTGCCAGCTTACAACTGTCTGTAACTCCAGTTCCAGGGAACCCCACACCCATGGCAAGACATCAATACACATAAAATAAATTTTGCCGGAATCCCAGCACTCGGGAGGCAGAGCCTGGCTGATCTCTGTGAGTTCAAGTTTGGACAGGCTCCAAAGCTACACAGAGAAACCAAAAAAAAAAAAAAAAGCTTAAAAGGACAGAAATAACCTATCTGCAGAGTGATTAGAGGATTAGAGTACTTGTAGAAACAGTATTAAATTGGCAGCCAACCCTCAGATCTTGCTTTTATTGATTCTGGGTATCCATATGAATCATGTCTCTGACCTTTTTCCTAATTAGAACTGTGGCCTACAACCATAGGACCAAGGCATCATTTGCCTAAAAGCCATTCTAGGGACTGTTGAACAGTCCATTTTCTACTTCTTTTTTTTTTTTTTTTTTTTTTTTTGTTATTTTTCGAGACAGGGTTTCTCTGTGTAGCTTTGCGCCTTTCCTGGATCTCGCTCTGTAGACCAGGCTGGCCTCGAACTCACAGAGATCCGCCTGGCTCTGCCTCCCCAGTGCTGGATTAAAGGCATGCGCCACACCGCCCGGCCCATTTTCTACTTCTTAAGCACTACTGGCAAAGCTGGATTCCTCAAACTCTTTCCCACAGCTGGGGCTTTAGCTTAGTGGTGGAGTGTGTGTCTAGTATGCAATGCCAGCAAAACAAAATGCCCTTTCCTATCAGGATGAATGAAGATGATCAAAGTCAGTAACAGCTGAGTCACATCCTAACTTCCCCTCGATCTGGTGAAACCACAGTTGGGCTCAGTATTCAGCCAGAAAAAGTGGAGACCCTAAATGAACACCAGACCAAAGTGCTGGCCAAGAACAGAAAGGAGACATAGTAGGCCCCCTGGGCCTTAGCAAACTTCTCAGGGTGAAGGACACCAAAACCTTTTGGACCAGGATAAACCAGTTTTACCCTCAAGGAATCCCCATCTCACCCCCACATCAGTCCCTTACTTGAGGAGGACTTGAGTTGAATTTAGCACTAGTGCTCCCCTAAGGGCAGAAACTCATAAAAGGCTTTTGTTTCCACAAGTGATTTTTATTAATACAGTTTCACTAAGAGCTTGATCCTATGTAGCCTTGACATTAGTCTAGCAGCCAATCAGGATGATCTTAGTCCCCAGAGAATCTCTACTTTCAGACTAGGACCCCAAATAAAACTAAGTCTGGCCATTCAACTGGACATCTCTCTCACCCATCAGAGACTCATTTTTCCCTTCTCATTTGGAAACTGGCCTAGTAAACATCCTTAACTGTCTAGGAACCTAGAATCAATGCATGAAACACAGAGAAAACTATTTTATTGAATGAAAAAAAGAGGGAAGGAGGACATGCCTGCTCCTAGGTATGGTGGAAGAGATTTATTATAGATATGAGGGAGAGCATAGCCAGAGGTATCTGGAAGGGTCCAGACTGAACATGAGACTGGGCCACATGAGAAGGGTGGGGAAGAGGGGGAAGAGGGACAGAGGGTAACCTGAAGCAGCAGCCAAGAGGCCAAAAGGAGCACATAACCAAAATGGCTGGTTTGTATAGGAATCAGAGAAGCTGGGAGAAGAAAAAGCCCAGCCTAGGCTCTGGGCTACAGTTTAGGGTAGGGGGTTGGGTATGCCAGCCAGGAGGACACTGTAGCAGGTAGGGACTAAAGTGTACTGGGAGAACCTGGCAACCGGCCTCAGCTCTGATATGTTAATAGGTACCTCAGTTGAGACCTAACATTCATACAACGACTGGAACTATCTTCTTCAAGGGGCCCTCAAGACAGAGTGTCCAACACAGAAAAGAAGACAGCAGGTTTAACTGATTTTAATGGAACATGTTGGGCATGGGGGCATGCCATTAATCTTAGCACTTGGGAGGCAGATCTATAAACAAATAGTTATACAATAAAGATTTATAAACATTCACAAACAAAAACAGTTTGCCACCTTTCTAGGAACTGTAGAAACAAACAACCACAGAACAGCCGTGTAGTGACAGTTGGAACTGGATTAGTACTTTGGTCTTTTCACTTCAACCCTGAAATCAAAGGAGAAGTAGATCAGCAAAGGACCAGACACTAAACAGTTCTCCCCAGGCCCAAAGAGAAAAGGCAATGCTGCTCACCCATCGGCTTCCATCTTCTTCCTCTTCTCAATGATCTGTACAAGAACAGTAGTAGTTTATATGCATGCTGCTAGTCTAAATCTAAGTCCACCTAAAGCCCAAAGGTGACCTCTCTCAATTTCCATGGCTGCCCCACCCTGCCTGTTCCTGAATCTGTTAGTAAGTGTCTCTTCTCAACTGAAACCCTGCCACCTAAGAAAGAGTCCACTAACCGCACTTATTTTCTTCCACTGGCGATCAAGCTCTGCCTTGTCATTGGTTTCTTTGAAGCGTCTGGTTTTCCGTCCTTCAGACATCTTGATACCATACTGGAATGCAGCCCTGAAAAGGATCATTGTGGGAAGAAGGCATTAGAGGTCTCACAGCAGTAGCAAGATTTTTTTAAAGGGCTCTGTGGGCAAAGTACCTATCTGGAAACACCGCAGTTAGACTACTGCCTCTAACCCAACATGGGCTAGTCCACCAAACGCCACATCCTCATTCTCTGCCCATATTTACTCACTTGGGCAAAGCCTCCTTGTTGTTCATATATTCGCTATATTCCTCCTGAGTATCAAAGTCCCAGCGGCCTAAGGGACCCTTCTTGTTACCCTGTGGTAGAGCAGATGGGAAGGAAGCACTATCGGTGGAAAAGGAATTTTCTCTGAACAAAACCAGATGCCCACAATCTACAATAATCCACCAGTAATAAATCTTACCCTAATAAATAACGTTTCCTATGTACTTACATTATACACATTACTCTGAACACTAATTCTTACAAATTACACCTTAATTTTTACAAAAATTCTAAAGTGAGAATTATATTTCTATTTTTTATGATGTAGAAACAAAGGCAGTTGTAAACAGGGAAAGAATATGGCAAGGTCACAAAACTAGCAAATGGCAAAGACAAAACAAAACAAGGCTCCAAGATTAAACCATGTTCTTGGGTATGTGGCTCAGCAGTAGAGCACTTGCCCAGCATGTGTGAAACCCTAAGTTGGATCCCAAGGACAACAGAAAACAAGTTTCTCTTAGTCCAGGATGTACTCAGTAATACAGTACTTGCCTAGCATGCAAAGGTTCCTGGGTTCAATCTCCAGCAGTGAAAAATAAATAAAAATTTATTTTATCTGAG